ACGGATAATATTCATATTTCGTTTCTAGAGCATGAATAATAACGTGGAGTAGTTATTTCGTTTATGCGTAACCCAAGTACAAACGTGACGTAAACGTTGGCACAAACCAGTTGGAGTGCGTTATGTTTACAACAGTGAAAGTGGTCGAACGGGTGACCGCTGCGACTTTGCTTTTAGTCACAGCTTATATGAAACAGTAACGTTATTTAGACTTTTACAGTCACTTGATAGTGCCGTGTGTAATTACTTTCATTAAATATGTCTTTTACACATTGTATACCAAAATAGTAAAATATAATGGGATATTTTTAAAATATATGTACGTTAACAGATTATAATAATATGGAAGTCATGCAGGAAATCGATGGATGCAGGTTATATTCAGCAATGCACTTTGATGGACTGTAATGTTTATGAATTGATGAATTTATAATGTGGCAATTTTATTAAACAAACAAATTCTTCATCATCAGTGGTAAATTGTCCATTGGTTGATAGTCTATAAAATAGAGAAATGGTTTAATCACAAACTAGTCGTACAATCTACGAATTGAAAAAGAAAAAGAAACAATTAAAAAGTTAGAACTCATTTCATTTCTGGTTTAAAATCATTTCGTATTGTGGTTCTAACTTGATAAGCCTTCAGAACTATGTACGTACTCTCTAGTCTCTAGCTTTAAGCTGATGAAATAATGCTGCTTATATATGATTCCAGTTGTCGTAAGTTATTTAGGTTACTGGCTTCCTTTAGTTTGTCTTATTGTCTAAAACTACAAAAACAATTTTTTTCCTTCCTTTAAACCTTCGATTAAATTTTGAGGAAGTCAAATTTTATATATTTTCTGCGATTTTGTTGCCCCAAGAATGAATAATTGACTTGGTAGAGTCGAGTAACTGATACTATTAGCTTATGTCTGTTCCTAGTATTTACAGAATGAATAAGTATCATTAAATTTTTAAAACTACTTTTATTTTCTTTTGTAAGACAAATATAATTTCAGTGTCAGTCGCGTGTCCCTATAGCAAAATACCATACGATAATATGCTATGAAAATAGCTAAAGTAAACTTGTCTAGCTGTTTCACACAGGTATGATTTCTAATCTTTTTTACGGCATATGCTGCAGAACTAAGTCTGTTTGCTAGTTTGTATAGATATGTGTGGCCCCCATTAAAGCTTTGCGTCTAGTGTAAATGCAAGAAACTTACGTTGAAATTTTTATAAAATCTTTATTTGATGAGCAAATTGTGCTCAACTATTGTTCGTTTGTTACAAGTGGCCATCGGTCAATGAACGGATAACCCACGCTTATATAATATTTTTGGCTCTGAATGAAGGCTTTATGGACGATCCAACAGTTCGCGCGCATATTATTGTATCGCTGAATAAAATACTGTGTGATATAAATATTGGATATTCTACTTTTTTAACGATGATAGGAACATATGTAGCGAACATTTATTATGATGTATGCTTAGTTGTTGAAGTGTTGCTTTTGAAGTTATTTGAAGCCAAAAAGTACTTAATTAGATTTTTATTATTTAAATACTCTTGTTGATTTATTATACGATGAGAATACATCCAATAATTTTATTTTTACGGTTGTAATCTTTTTTTATACATTTTGGTAATTTACTATCATCGTCTTCATTGGAGCCAACCACTGAATTCGTTGTAGGCATTTAAACAATATTACAATTACATTGTTGGTATTAACAAAATTTAATTCTTAATTTAACAAAACAATAATTAAGTAAGTATTATATTCTAAGGTATTATAAAATTTATTTTCAAATAAAAAATATAATGTATGTACTCGTTCACCTTTTATTAAATTAATATGTCATTTTCAACTGTGTACTTTCGCGTAAGTACGATGTTAGCGATGCGAACACGCTGGGCCACCTGCTTTGCGCAAGTGATAGTCAAAATAACTTCACATGTTGAAACTTACGAAAGACTCGCGCGTCACGGGCTACCTCGGATTAACAAGTGTTGCTGCGACTACAAACATGATAATTGGGTTTAGGTCAAGAGACCTATATTTGTATCACAGGCGTTAGAAAATTTAAAAACTGTTTAAAACAAGTTTAGAATTAAACTGCTCACAAATTAAAAGCAATTTAAATTCTGTTAAAATTAAATATTATAAAATCGATTACAATTAGATAATGTTAATCGTACCTAGGGGATAAGTATTGGTATAGCAATAGAACTTTTATTGGTCATCACCTCTATAGATCAGATATAACTTTCATGTGGTAAGACCACTAGATGGATTAGAATCAATATTGAAGGTGTCTTCTTACCTACCATATCACTATACCACAGCACTACTATACAAAGAGTCAAAAGTTCTAACAGTGTGACAACTGTTTTATACTTAAACCTACTATTTATGAAACATTCAATTTTGACTTATTACTCCTCAGTGTTTCGTTGATCGTCATGACTTCCACCTAAAAACAAAATTTTCAAATAGTTACTTTGCTATTTAATTTTAAAATGCTTCCAATCAATGATCCTACCTTAAGTACCTGCAAAAAGTCGGCGTCTCACCCCCGTGCCTCGGAAAACACGTAAGGTCGTTGGTCCTGCGCCTGATCTCTCTCCGGTCGTGTCGGTTTACCGTCCCATCGGACTATGAGAGTGAGAGAAAGAGAGTGCAGCTGTGCTTGTGCATATACTTGCGCACTATAATCCTGTCCTGCGCCGATGACTAGTCTTCGTTGAGGCTGACCGCCGTGACAGAAATTCGGTCTGGAGGACATTACTATTATTACCTGCAAAAAGAAAATGACTACTTGATGCAATTGAAAAGTTGCTACCAGTTCAGTCCAGTGTAATATACTATGACGTTAAAGTCACAGCTTATAACGTTCCACAGCTGAGCACAGACTCCTCTTATTTCTGAAGGAGTCTTTAGGGAAAGAAAGTGTCCGCTGCGTCACATAAAGAGAAGATGGTCGTTCAGGGGCTAAGAGCTGGCCCTAAATTTCACAGTACGTGAGCGGTCCGGGTTCGATCCCCGTTGTGAATTGCAATTGTTGAAGTGCTATTATAATTTACCACGTGCTCGACGGTGAAGGAAAACATTGTAAGGAAAGCCGCATGTTAAAGCAACAATATTTACTGGGCTAAAATTTCTCTTTCTCGGTAATATTTTCGATTTAAACAAACAATGTTTGTTATGAACACTTTTTCGCTACAGAAAATGTTTAATAATACGTTGTATTACCTATTTACATGCTACCTAATATACTATACTAGCTGTGCCCCGCGGTTTCACCCGCGTCATCACGTGTCGGAGGTGCGCGATTTGACCTAGTTCAAGCATTTTATAATTGCAATTAAATATTTTATTTGATAGCAATGTATGGAAAAATTGGCATAATTAATGGATTACTTTTAGAAGCTTTCAATACTGGGTTCTCGCAGTTCTCACCGGGCGGCTAGGCTTTATGCGTCGTTCGCGCGCCCAGCCAAGTTTGAATTATTTTAATTTTACATTATCTCTTAAACTTTGTTCTTTATAACATGGTATAAAGAACAAAGTTTATCGTCATAAAATTGTCTTGATGATGAAGTAACTTTCGTTCGTAAGGATAAATAGGCCATGCCAAATAATAACGCTCATAAATCACTTCTTAATTTTCAATATTTTTTGTCACAAAATACCTAATTATGGCTTATGTATAAGAAATAGACATATGGTATCGCGGACTTTTTTTTAGACGGAGTAAAGATCTATATTTTTCTAGAACATTGTATTTACGTATCCCTAACGATAACACCAGCGTACGCGGGTAAATAATTTCGGGAGTGCTTTTTCTTCTGACTTGCTTAACAAATATCCATATTGAAGGCTAGCTGAGTGATATAGTTTAATGATGAATTTGACTGTAATATACAAAAATAATTTTTCAAATCGCACTAGTAGTACCAGAGATTAGCGCGTTTAAACAAAAAAAAAAAAAAAACTCTTCCGATTTATTATATTAGTATAGTATAGATTTTCTTTATAAGAATTCTGTTTGAAAATCTTTGCTATTAAACATGAAAATATATTGTTTCAATGAAAAATGACAATATATTGGAATTAGTTTTTATTTTGTGAAAATCATTCTGGTTTTGTTTACGTAATGTATCAAAAATAATAATATGATAATAAAATATATCCATTACCAAAATATAAGTATTTGCGTATTGTTGAATAAAAAATAAAACTAAAAATTATATCTTTTATATTTAATATCTTTTACGTGGTAGAGCCATGCTGCAGCTATATTAATAGTATACTCCAATATACCTTTTAAACTATTTCTTCTATTACTCTTCGGTTCTTTTCCTTTTTATTGGTTGTTTTCTCACAGCAGTATCTCTCCTAATGAAAATCGCAACAGTCGGGGTAATCGTGGAATCATGTGTGATTCGCACTTCTTTAGTTGATAAATCATTATGAAGCTCCCATTGATTATTGCTTCTCCTACAGAAAGTTTTTATACGTGGTAGAGCCATGCTGCAGCTATATTAATAGAATAGTTGTAGCACGAATGGGTCGGCTCGACCGGGGAAGAACCACGCTCTCACAGTGTTTCGTATGGTGAGTGTAGAGAACTGGAGACACTTTTTACTGGAAAAGAGGCATTCTATCTTAGTTCTCACGGCTGACAACGCATCTGTATTTTGCAAACGAAGATAGATGTAGATGTCTATGGGCCACAGCAACCACTTACCATCAAGTGGACTGTGCGCTCGTTTGTCACCCTTATTCTATAATAATCTAATATATCAATTTTGTCTAAATAGTTACCGATCCAACTGTTAATTATTTTCCTTAAAGCTCAAAATGTATTCAAAATCTATCTAGGCTACGAAAATAGAGCAAATGTTAAAAATATCTTTATTTGCTCTTCTTTTTTAATGAGAGTAGCGCTTTGTCTACGATTTATGGGTCGCCAAATGTGCAATATTTTCTTATCGAATTTCGTTTGTTCCAGGAACCGGCACATTTGGCCGCGTCTGTTTGTGCCGAGATAAAGCAGCCGATGAATATTTGGCGATGAAAATCCTTTCCATGGCCGACGTGATTCGACTAAAACAAGTCGACCACGTCATGAACGAGAAAAACATACTCGCTGAAATAAATCATCCCTTTATTGTAAATTTGTAAGTATATGATTTTTTGTGGTATTCCTTTTTTTAATTTGTTATAAGCCAGTGTCTAACTATAATCCTGTATTTTACCAATTGCCATAGTTGCCATGCGTTGCAGGTGGTTTGGCAACCGTAGTTTCTTTATTTTCTAATTATTATTATGGTGTTAAGGAGACGTAGGTTGTTACGTGATAATGGAATAAAACTAATGACGAATAATACGCCATTGGTTTTAAAAACTAGTGATTTAGAAACTGGTTTTTCTAAATACATGACAGTTTCTGCGCAAGGTGATTTACGATTCTACCGGACTGCTACAGTTTTTTACGAAGCAAAAATATGGATGACCAAATTAGTTATCACAATCTTTACGTTTTTGTAGTTTTACGGTTACATTATAAACGCAAAACTAACTAAAAAACTGTCTTCTTTATTATAAAATCAAAACATGCTACGAATAATGATAATGAATAGTAATGCATGCATGCATCATCATTATCATCATCATTACAGCCCTTCACAAGTCCACTGTTGAACATAGGCCTCTCCCAAGGAATGCCACAAAGCACGGTCCTGAGCCACCTGCATCCATCGACTTCCTTGCACGTCTTATCCTGTCGTCACTAGATGGAGTAATGCATGCGTATTAAGTTAATTTGATTGTAAATATAATATACAAGGATTTCGAATATTTGCAGTAAGTTATATTTTATTGGCACTTTTATTTGTTGATGTTTTTCATTTTTAGTTTTTAGTCTATATATTATACATAATTTTATATTTTTTAGAATATTTATTTTTTTGTCTACACACACTTTTCAAATGTAAGAACGCAAAAGAAACCACATGCGCAATGAGGTCGCGAAATCTGCTATCCATCCACTGGTTTGTTTCGCTCTGTCGCCTTTAACGACACCTATGGGACTATATTATGGAGTAGTAGGGTAGTATATGTTAATAGCTTTGCATCGATATTTGTTGTTGATAGAAAACGTATAATCAAATGCGCACTGTTGCATATGTCGCGTGTCAATTTTCGACGCGAAAAACATCGGCGCAGAGTCGATAATAGATTGTTTTACAAATTAATTACGGTGCTTGTAATAAAAATATTTATTGTTCCTAGATTGCCCGAGACATATGTATAGTTTATACAACTATACATATGTCTCTGTCGGTCTTCTGAGATCTTATGCTTTTGAATATTATGTTAGTTAAAGTTAAAGCTATTTACGAGTATATGTATATGAGCATTCGAAATTAAAAAAAAATTAACAATCTGATTTATTGATTTAAAATAAATATTAATTTATTTATGTCATTGTCATTTTGATTATTTCAGTGAAATTAATATGATAATTTTATTTCCGTTAAGAATTATTATACGTAGGATTGTAGGCCGCGCAAACGCTTGTTCCGTGCGGCATTCGAACCTGTGGCCATACAGCGCCGCAACCAAAGGCATGCTAATACTATTATGTCAACGGCCAAGCAGCCAAGCACTGTCAAGTGTCGCTGACAGCATTCTGGCAACCGTGATTATAATCTAATAGTACAGACAGCTTAATGGCTAATTGACAGTATTTCTATCGTCAATCATATTATGAATGTAATACTTGAGAATTTCTGTAAATATTGAATCATAATGTTTTATTGTTATTAAGTACATATGTTATTTAAAATAAATAATAACTGGATTAGTGATTGTCTCGCGTATTTCATTAATGCCACTGCCTGTCAAGTGATAGTACACTATGGGCCGATTTTTCAAATCATCAGATAAACATATAGATAACGTTTATTCGATAGATAGCAAACAATTTTATTTCTCTATCGTTCGATAGGCAGTAATTCGACTACCTGAGGAATAAATATCTCTGTCCTTTTAACGACCACCATTTATTTGAGAGATTCTCATTCGATGACAAATTATCGTAAACACAACATTTTACTTTAAGGAATATATGATATGTCTTGATTTTGTGTTTATTATAAAGTTAAATGTCATTATACTGTAATAAATTATATATATATACGAAGAGCTCTAGGTATCACATGGAAAATGTCTCATATTTCGTAATGATAAATATGATAATGGTCGCAGATTTTAAGTTAGACTAAGACCTTTCCAATAGTGAAAACCACTTTTCCGTTGTTTCTCTTCGTACTCCACTACATTCATCATCCTTCTTCAATAAATAAATTCTTCAAAAAAATCTGTTACAGCTATAGCTACTACTCTTACAGAGTACGTGGAAATCCTTTCCTCTACATATTCGCCGTTCAAAGCGTATATTACTTGGAATTCATTATATTTCCCCATTATACTTCCCGACCTTTCTTGTACTTATTCTACTTTCCTCAACTGTCATCATCTTGTGACTTAATTTAATTCTATCATCTCCCTTGCAACCATTCGTTATGAACAATTCTTTGCGTAATGAGGTTGTCTGGAAGAAATCGCTTTCAGAACGATAAGACCGCCTATTGTACCTACTTTATTTATTTAATTTTGTCTTTATATCAATGTATTTTGGTGTAATATATTCTTATATTGATTGATTGACTGACTAACGACGTCATCAAAATAGTTTACAATTTTATACATAATAGCTTTCTTTCCGTATTTTTCCCTTTTGGGATGGTGTATCCAAAAACCTTGCTACACAACACGTGTTACTTAGTTTCTAATCGAAAGCTAATCAAACGAAGAATTCTCGATTTACTCGTACAAATTAGAACACCTTCTGCCCCTAATATATATTTACAATCCATGAGTAATCTTGCGTCCCACATGGGTGAAATTACCGAAGATGTTGCGTCCGACCGACTTGTTGCGTCCAGTATACGGACGCAGGATTGACGCACCCTGATAATCAGCCAACAGACTTCATATTATCGGTAAACCATCTGGGCTTAAATTGACATGCACGTTATTTCATCATTGCAATGAATTCCGGCGAATATTTTAGTATATTAAAATAACAATAAAAAATTTTGACGGTCATTTAACGGGATAAAAACTATCAAGTTGGACCAAAATGCACACAGTGTGCAAAATTTCATTGAAATCAGTTCAGTAGCTTAGGAGTCCATCGCGGACAAACAACGTGACCCGAACTTTTTATATATAAAGATTATTTATTTATTTTATTAACTGAGTATTTTCAGAGTGATGTCAATCATTTCATAAAATAAAAAGTTCCATTCAAACTGTAACACCTTATTTCACCCTAATAGGGGTTGAATTCATCAAAATCCTTTATGAGTGGATGCCTACGTCATAAAAGGCAGCTGCTGTGTAAATTTCAGATATTTACGGACATTGTGCCGTGTAGTGGCGGTTAAGAATATCCACTACCCCATATCTTCCCGTGGGTGTCGTAAAAGGCGACAAAGGGAAACAGGCAGGAGATGGGCAGCAGCATCTTCCTGATAGCATCAAACTTACAATAAAAAAACTGCGGTTGCCAACCCGCTTGCCAAGCGTGGCAACTGTGGCAAATACCCCCCTATGATGATAGTAACAAAGAGAGAGCCCCCAGTCCCCGGTGGCCCCGCTATTCCTGGCTACGGTGGCGACCATGGTAACGGCGGCGCAGGGGGTGCTAAGAATCTCCGGTGGAGGTTCGGTTGTCACCTAAGACGACTCAACCTGGCAACATACTACGCACGCACCCTGAGGACTGACGAGAAGATCGTGGAGCTGGAAGAAGAGATAGACAAGTTACGCTGGCAAATTATAGGATTATTATACTCAGAATCACCAAAGGGTATTCGCTGAAGGTCATACGGGATTACGCACCAACCTCGGTGCACCCCAATGAGGAGGTGGAGGAAATGTATAAGGATATCTCTAGAACCATGCATACCTCCAAAACCCAATATACGGTGTTAATGGGAGACTTCAATGCAAAACTAGGCACATGAGAAATCGGAGAGCTGAAAGTAGGGAAATTTGGAATAGGGCCACGGAACCCAAGGGGCCAGCAGCTGGCCGACTTCATGAAGAAAGAGGGACTCTTTTTGATGAACTCTTTCTACCAGAAGCGGCCCCACAGGAAGTGGACCTGGTCGAGCCCCGACGGTTCGACAAAAAATGAGATTGACATCATTATGGCGACCAGACGACAACTGTTCAGTGATGTCTCCGTGATCGCGAGGGTGAAAACTGATAGCGATCTCGGAATGGTTAGAGGCACACTGAACCTAAACGTTAAGTTGGAGAGGTCTCGTCTAATGAAGTCAACGCTCCGTCCCCCTCGTGCTCTGTTCCAAAGTCCCGAAACCTTTCAGCTCGAGTTACAAAACCGTTTTCAGTGCCTAGGAGACTGTAATAAAGTGGACGATATGAATGACAAGCTCGTGGAAACTGTCCATGCGGTTGGAGCTAAGTTCTGCAAGACCCGCCGCAGAAGAACACAAAAACTCTCCGATCACACTCTTAATCTCATGGCTGTTAGACGGGAGATGACGCTACATTCTTCAATAGATTTGACAGCATACAGGCAACTGAACAGACAGATCTCCGAATGCATGCGGCGGGACTTACGCAACTTCAATACAGCTTGTATTGAAGAAGCGATCGAGCAGAACCAAGGCTCCAAAGTCTTTGCTAGAGATCTGTCTGCCAGAAAGAGCCAACTGTCAAAGCTGAAGACCGAGTGTGGCAACATCGTTTCCGGGGCACCTGAGATTTTGAGTGAGATTGGGAGGTTCTATGGGCAGCTGTACACGTCATCGTTGGAGCCACACGCAAGTGTGAGTAACGATCCAAGAGCGAGTCGTATCCGACACTATTCCGAAGATATCCTGGACGTCAGTCTGAGCGAGATTAGAATGGCTCTCCAGCACCTTAAAAACGGCAAGTCCCCAGGCGAGGATGGAATTACAGTGGAGTTTCTGAAAGCGGGTGGAAAACCGGTACTTGAAGTCCTTCAGAAGCTCTTTAATTCCGTCCTCCTTGGTGGCATTACACCGGAGGCGTGGAGCAGAAGTACGATGGTCTTGTTCTTCAAGAAAGGTGACAACGCTCTCTTGAAAAACTACAGACTGATTTCCCTTCTGAGCCGCGTCTACGTGCTGTTTTCGAGAGTCATTACGAATCGTCTCGCGCGCAGACTTGACGACTTCCAGCCTCCAGAACAAGCCGGTTTCTGAAAGGGCTTTAGCACCATAGACCACATACATACCCTTCGGCGAATTGTACAGAAGTCCGAGGAGTACAATTGGCCACTATATCTGGCGTATGTAGACTATGAGAAAGCCTTTGATTCCGTCGAAATTTGGGCGGTGCTGCAGTCCCTTCAGCGGTGCCAAGTTGACTGTCGGTATATCGAAGTGCTGAAGTGCTTGTACAGTAGGGCTACGATGGCTATCCGAGTACAGAACCAGAGTATGAAACCTATCCAATTGCAGAGAGGTGTAAGACAGGGTGATGTTATATCCCCGAGACTCTTCACCGCTGCATTGGAAGACGTTTTCAAGCTTCTGGACTGGAAAGGATACGGTATTAACATCAATGGCGAGTACATCACTCACCTTCGATTTGCCGACGATATAGTCCTTATGGCAGAATCGCTGGAGGACCTAAGCACCATACTCAATGACCTCAATAGTGTCTCCCAACGAATAGGTCTAGGGATGAACATGGACAAAACAAAGATCATGTTTAATGTCCATGTCACACCTATGCCGGTAGTTGTTGGGAGCACTAAGCTCGAAGTTGTTGACGAGTACGTTTACCTGGGACAAATAGTCCGACTAGGTAAGTCCAACTTCGACCGAGAGGTCAATCGACGGATTCAACTCGGCTGGGCAGCGTTCGGGAAACTACGACACATCTCAGACATACCTCAAAACTTTAAAACGAAATTGTACAACCAGTGCGTGTTGCCAGTGATGACTTACGGATTTGAGACGTGGTCCTACACTGCTGGCCGTATGAGGAAGCTCAAGGTCGCTCAGCGAACTATGGAGAGCGCTATGCTTGGGGTTTCTCTGCGTGATAAACTTAGAAATGAGGATATCCGCAGTAGAACCAGAGTAACCGACATAGCCCAACGGATTAGTAAGCTGAAGTGGCAGTGAGCCGGCCATATAGCTCGAAGAACCGACAACCGGTGAGGAAGAAAGGTTCTTGAGTAGCTGCCTCGTACCGGTAGGCGAAGTGTAGGGCGACCCCCCACGAGATGGAGTGACGACCTGGTAAGACATGCAGGAAGTTGATGGATGCAAGTGGCTCAGGACCGTGCTTTGTGGCATTCCTTGGGGGAGGCCTATGTTCAGCAGTGGACTTGTGAAAGGCTGTAATGATGATGATGATGATAATAACGGGAAATGGATAAATAGCTTCCAAAGCTATTCGTTATATAAATCACAATTGTAAAATAGACAATTAAAATTGTTTAGAGTCGGGACGGCATCAGAGGCAGCTGAACTGCGTAAGTGGCGCAAATATGAGTCTGAGAGATGACTACATATTTAGTGCCATTTGCTGTAGAGACTATCGGTCCGTGGGGTCCACGTGCGGTGAAGTTCGTAAAGGAACTCCATCCGCGGCTGGTCGTTGGTGCTGGTGATAAGAGGGCTGGTTCTTTTCTCGCTCAAAGGCTTAGTATAGCCATTCAGCGGGGAAATGCAGCCAGCGTTCTTGGCACGATACGGCGGGGAGTAGGACTATATGATAATTAAGTTTCTAGTTTTAGTTTTATTTTATTATTATAGTTTTTAATATTGTATATAATTAAAAAAAATAATTATTCGACAGTTAATCAGCCAAATAATTTTATTCATTTACTTATTATTAGATATTTTGCTTGAAAAACCGGCCCTTAGAGTAAGAACTGTGGTAACTAGTTTGACAAAATTACACGCTGCTACCACAGCCTAAAACTAGTTAGTAGAATGTGCTGCTACCTACTTGCTCAACATATAAAACTATTTCTCTTCCCCCAAGGATTTGCGGGATTTGGATTATGCTTGCTTTGTACATCTAATTTAATTGTTTAACATTGTTAACATCTTATTTTGTGTATAATAAAGAATAAATGCCTCCAATACTGAAATTGGTAATCGTTATCTTGAGCGTTGCTTTACCGCGTGCGTGGAGGTTTTGAAACATCTATCTATCTATCTATCTATCTGTAAGGACGCCTATACCCAGTTACCCAGTAGTGGAACGTAAATATAAACTGTTATTACTTTCATTTTAAGTTGTTGGCATATTACAGGCGATGGTGGACTCATGACGACTCTTGCCTCTACATGCTGTTCGAATACGTCTGCGGTGGCGAACTATTCTCTTACTTGAGAAATGCTGGACGCTTCAGTAACAGTATCGGTAACTATTACTTTTCTATACTTACGTGTTACATAAAATTTGTGTTTCTTATTGAATGAGATACCTTTTACAGACTTATTAGAGTTTGACTATTGTTTGTTTTTTGCAATTATTCTTTACAATTATTATGCTGGTTACTTAATATCCAACATTATGTGTAGTTCAAGTTAGTATATATTTCCTTCAAAACTGCTGGTAGGTGGTTTACCAATGCTTTTTTTATCTTATTATTATATTTAGTCTAAGTTTTATGTTATTAAAAGGCGATGCGATGGCGCTGTTAATAGTGATTTCAACTCTTATACGATTCCCGGCGGGTTAAGCAGTAACGACAGTTTCGAAAGCATATCTCCTTTAAATCTATTTCTAGACTCTTATTCTGGAGATGTTCATAAAAATTTCAAGATTGTTCACATTAATGCTCAAAGTATTCCTGATCATTACTCCGATGTGTTGTTCCGATGAAGTTTTGATAGCAAAAGCATACATGCTGTCCTTCTTTTGGAGTCATGGTTTTAACCATCTACTTTCTACTCGCTTCTAGGCTTCACTTTAGTTCGCAGTGACAGCATCGAGCGGGGCGGGGGTGGTGTTGCTATTTATTTACGATACACATATACCTTATTCTATTATTTAAGCGTCATCAATATCCTAAATTGGAAGCGTAGCAGAATTCTCCTTCAACGAAATCCTTCTCTGCCACACAAAATTACTACTTAGAGTTTTTTACAGTCCCTCTCTCACAATGGGCTACTTTTCTGTTTTAGATAATTTCTTAGTAAGTCATACACCTGTTTTTAGTCATACCATAATAATGGGTTATTTTAATATATGTCTACTCGAACGTAACACCAGATCCATTAAACTTAAATATGTTATTGAGGCAGAAAACTAAAAATATCTTTCTACTTCCGCGACACATTATATTCCTAATTGTGCCCCTTCCTTTCTCGACTTAATGTTTATGATGTGCAGTTAATGCCTTCTCCTATTACGACCTTATCTTCTTGTCTTATAATATTGGATCTCCTAAAGCTAAATCGAGCACTTTACTCTAGTGAATTGAACCTTGAATTACTTCGCCGTGATGCTTTAAAAATTAATTGGAGTTTGGTTGTGAATGCTCCTGCTGTCGACGAACAGGTAGCATTATTCAATTCCTTTTTTAATTCAGCTATATGACATTAATGCTCCTGTTCGATCAGTGCACCTTAAACACCCTCTATCTACATGGTTGAATGCCGAAATTAAACAAATAATTGAAAAAGAAATCGAGTCTAAGCAAAATACAAGTTTATTGCAAAAAAAGAGAAATATAGAACCAAAAATCCGGAATCGTTGCAACAACTTGTGTAGAAATGCACAATGACACCATTTTTACGAATCAGTTCGTGACTCTGACCCTGCTAGAGTCTGATAATTCCTTAAGTCCTTAGGGAGTTGGGAAAACAAGCGAAATCCTTTCAAACCATAATATTAACCTCAATCAGCTTAATCAGCACTTCTCCTCTGCATCTTGCGTTGATTAGAAAGCAAAGCAAAATACTTTGGATTTCTTCTGTGATATTACCACTCCAGAATCTTCTGCTTTTTATTTTAGTAAATTTCACAGTTGTGATGTTGAGAGTGCCATTCTCTCCATCCATTCGGATTCAGAAGGTGGTGACTATTAGTCTTAAAATGATCTTTCTTCTCCTGGATCTCCTTACCTTTATGTGGTAGAACCACGTTGCAGCTCTATTATGGTTGTGACACGAATGGATCGGCTTGACCGGGGCAGGACCACGCTCTCACAAAATACTAGCGTAAAATAGCAGCTTAATGCTGCTGTGTTTCGTATGGTGAGTGTAGAGAACTGTAAACCCTTAGGGGTCAACCTACAACAACAACACATCACTCATTATCTACGAGAACATAAGCTTTTTAATCCCTTGCCATCCGGTTTCAACCCTGGTCATGTACGACTACAGCATTTATGCCAGCTACTAATGACATTCGTTATGGTATGGAAAATCAATAATTAACAATACTTACTTTGTTACTCGTAGATTTCAGTAATGCGTTTAGTACGGTCCATTTTGAAATCTTATAAAATATATCGCGCTCTCTCATCATACCTCCGGCTGTACTTGACTGGTTTCGTAGTTACATAATGGGGTGCCGATAGCGTATTTAGGTGCAGTCTGTCTATTCCTCTTGGACTGCTACTGTCGCCGGCGTCTCACAAGGTGCCGTATTGTCTCCTGTTTGCAATTTTCATAAATTCTATAAGTTATCAACTATCTTCTTCTTACCATTTGTACGCTGACGACCTCCAATTTCGCGTTGTCTTTTCTGGAAAATTTACCGAAAGCTATTGATAGAACTAACGCAGATCTTACTTGTATTTTAGACTGGTGTAAATCTTATGGAACATCCATTAATCCTACAAAACTCAAGCAATAATTATTGGTAGTTTTAAATTAGTTACTAGTGTTGACTTGTCTTTCATGCCACCTATTCTTCTCAATGGCATTCACATCCCCTTTAGTGATAAAGTTAAGAATTTAGGAAAATATATCGACTCCTGTCTAATATGGTCACTGCAGGTTTATGAAGTAAGTAGGAAATTGTTTGCAGTGCTAAGCTCTCTGCGGATATTTCCCAGGAATACTCACATCCTTTCTGCTTTATACTGTTTAATCCCCTCACTCCACGTTACCTAAAAGACCGCTTTAAGGTCATCTCCTCCTCTCACAATCGTCATCTACGATCCATTAACAATTTTTCGCATTGCATTCCAGCACCATCTTCCTCCTTAAATAAGTCAATTTCGGTTACAGCTGTACGCTTGTGGAACTCCTTGCCTTTATATATTCGACGTGCTCAGTCTCTTTTTTAATTCAAAAATCTACTCAAAGCTACTACTGATATGATGGGAAATATTAGAGCTTCTCTATCATACTTCACGTCCTTATTTGTTTCTATCACAACTATCTTCAACTGTCATCATCTTGTGTTTTATATTTATTTTATTCTTTTTTCTTTTACCTAATTGTTTAATTTATTTACGCCTTCCTAAATTGCCATTCGTTGTTAAAACAGTTCTTTGCGCAAATAGGTTGTCTGGAAGAAATCGCTTCCAGATAGGTAAGACCTTTGTAGCTATTGTACCTATTGCAGCGCGTATTGTACCCTCTTATATAATTTATTTAATTTTGTTTTTATTTTGTATGTGTATTGGTGTACAATAAAAAATATATTGATTGATTGATAAAGACATGAATTCGTGGTTATCTGTACAAAAACTTTACTTTTATTTTGTCACTTTCGCTCGTAAATATTCATAACATTAGTTTAATTTCTTTCTATACCATATTAATTACCTTATTTTTTATATTTCTTAACTCAACCAAAAACTTGAATAATATTTAAAGGTGTTATTGTTTATATCAAGATATTTTTAAACATTACCTATAGAATAAATCACGGCCGTGTACAATTTCTCTGCACACGTTGATTTAGTTTGCGACATCATAGTTTTCAACCCGTGCCAAGTTCAGTGCGATTTGTCCAGCGAACACTTTATTCTGGTAACATTAGTTTACATGCATTTGGCTCGAGTTGGTGTTTTCACATCAAATAATTGTTAGAACCATTTAAAATTAGACGCAAAACAACATTAACAGAAGTATACGTATTTTTATATATTTTTGATAAATAATTACTTATTGTTCTTTTGGTATGGATCCAATTTACTTTGGTTATAAAAAAAAAATAAGTCTTGTTACGAGTATGAAAATACTATACTCGTATTACACAGTTCTTTGACTTATTTATAAGTTTCCAATCCGTCTGTCGTAATGCATGACATAAAAATCAAAACTAAAATATTTTAAAGATATTTTCACCGATGTAGAAAAAAACTTAAGAGAATATTTTTCAATATAGATCTCAACTTTAAAAATGTATTTCAGGGTTATTATTTTAAAATAAGTATTAGTCTTAATTTTTGTATTAGTTAATTTTTTTTGCAATGCAACTAAAAATTTTGATAAAATCTAAAAACTTGTATAATTTAAAATAAAATTATCGTAGCATTTAAAGTTAAGAAAATATCTCATAATTTTATATATATGTTATCAGCAGACAGAAATTTGCTCTTAGGTGAACTTTTTTTATAGGAGAGGGGGCAAACGAGCATACGGCTCACCTGATGGTAAGTGACTACCGCCGCCCATGAACAACTGCAACACCAGGGCAATTGTAGGTGCGTTGCCGGCCTTTTAAAAGGAGTAAGCTCTTTTCTTTGAGGTCGTTATTCGTATCTGTCCGACAAAATCGCCGGTGGTAAACTATTCCACAAAGAGTTCAAGCGCGGAAGAAAGCTCCTAGTAAAACATACAGTGGTGGACCGCCAAGCATCCAGATGGTGTGTTTTGGGAGTTTTGCCGCGCTGTGCGTTCGTGTAATTTGGCGGCTGGGATTAATCCGAACAATTCCTCGGAGCACTCCCCGTGGTAAATCCGAAAAAAATGCAAAGGGATGCAACATCTCTTCGCAGCACCATTGGATCGAGCCGATTGGAAAACACTCGGTCATCGACGATTCGCGCCGCTGGATGCGGTCAAGTAGAAGGAGCTGGCACTAGGGAGCCCCAGCCCAGATATGGGAACAGTATTCCATGTGAGGCCGAACCTGCACATTGTAAAGTTGCAGGCGGTGTGTCGGCTTGAAATACTGTCCCCCTTTGCTGAGCACGCCAAGATTTTTAGAGGCCAATTTGGCCTTCTCTTCCAAGTGACCACGAAACTGCACGTCACTCGATATGTCAACGCCGAGGATTTTGATACTGGCTAAGACAACAAGGGGAGTGCCTTGAAACTGAGGAAATACGACAAAGGGGTTTTTTTAGCGGTAAATGCGCAAACTTGTATCTTCTGAGGATTAAAATGGACTAGATTTAGTGGCCCCCAATCCGAGACTTTGTTCAGCAAAGACTCGACTTCAGACACATGTTT